TTGTTTCTCTGTCTTCTACTTTCTTCTTGGATTCCCACTTAGAACGTGGAATTCTATTCCTTTTATTTGGAATTGGAGGTCCCATTGCAAGAAAAAGGAAAGACCTCCATTGCCTGCAATTATTGAGCCAGCAAATTAAAGAGAAAAAGAGAATCTCCAACGAGAGATAAGACCTCTATTTGATAAAACAATTTTTCTGCAAAAGAGGGAGAAATTGATTGAAGTACAAATTAAAAATGTAGCAAGTTCAAAGTAGATTGATCTATTGAATACCTTATATTTATTTGACTATCATCAAATTAGTATTTTACCCTAATGAATTGATTTAATTAGTTTTACATGTTGGTATTGAAAACAATAAAAATATATACCAAAGAGTTTAATTTAGATATTTAAAGAATTGAAGAAGTAAAGATATTAATTAAAGTACTAGGATATACATACCTTAATTGGCTAGGTTGTAGCTGCTTTTCCTTTCTCGGTGATGCTCCAAGCTAAAAAGTTGTTGGGTTTTGTAGAGAGACTAATTAAGCTTAATTTGATAGAATATCTAAAAATTTGTATCAAACAAATAAAATATTGAATTAAAATAGATAATAAAACAACAGTCAAAAAAGAAAATTTAATCATCATTATATTAGTTAAAGACATACCATAATTAAGAGTAATTAGATACTCTAATGAATTAAAACACTAATAATAAAAAGTTTTAATATAAAGATATATTTAGTCAGTACTAATTAAGTCACCTAATATTATCTCTTTGATTTGGTCAATATAATGGTCTATATAAGATTATAGGGATTGTTCAACGTAAAAAAGAAAAAATAATAATAACACACATTCATAGAAATAATGATATGAAGAGATATGTGCATAAAAAGACTGCAAAAAGCCAATATATATTTGGGATTAATTAAGAAGCATACCTTTGCTTTAATGCCCAAAGCTGAAAACGCAAGTGGAGATATTTTCTGGAAAAGAACTGCAAGGATGGAAGAGTAACACAAGAAGAGGATGGAAAAAAGATAAAGGCTCTGGATTGTAAAAGGGGAAGGATAAAGTTCTGAGAAAGAATATTTAGGATGGTACGGTATGTAAAAAGACTGGTTTGAATGTGATACTAATTAAAAAATTGTTCACATAACCACTACTGCATTATATACTGACCATGTAAATGAGTTATTTTATTAAATAAAAGTAAACATCAATATAAGGTTAAATTAACTCCACGCATGATAAAAATCAATATTAAAATCTTAAGATAATATTGACCCTTGAAAGGAAGGGCACTGTTTAGTTAGTATAATTGCGTTTGTTTTATGGTCTCCCAACAACGCTTCAATAGTAAAAAAACTTGAGTCTCTAAAATTGATGAAGAGAAGTTTAGAAAATGAAAGGTTATTTTTTATTGTATAATGCTCATCATTTGATTGTATAAAAACAAAAATATTACAATATTTAATTTTTAGTTTTTATTATTAAAATTTAAACAATTGAAATTAACAATTACAAACAAAATTAAAAAAAAAATCAACTTATTAAGAATAAATATTTAAAACTAATACTAGTTAATTAATTTAAAAAGAGTTTGATTAACTTGTGCAGATAGTAAATTATTTAGAATTAGAGCTTATTGTGTTGGTTGGTTTGAGGAAAATGAAAAAAAAAAAAAAGTGTTCAATCAAATTAAAATATTAAACCAATATTTAAGGTCTATTCGGTACATAAAAAATGGCTTTTTATTGGAAAATATTGTTCAAAAATTATTACAGTCATACAATGAAATCAAAATTTAAAAAAACTTTACGAAAAATTATTTCATCCATGCCTCTTTTGATTTCAAATTTATTATGTTTGATTTAAGAAGAGTGAAAAAAAAAAGTAAACAATTTATCCAATGAAATAACCATAAAACATTAGACAAATATTTTATCTGAAAATATAACAAAATTGGGACTTCTTGGAAATCAAATTTCCTAATTACATCTGTTGCAACTTTCTAATATTGTTGTGAAATTGGTTTGTTTTTCTTTAATAGGGTTATTATGGTCATTGCATAGACAGACTATAGGAGTAAAATATGGTCATTGACTCCATCAAGACACGGTTTGCTTTAAAGGATATGGGCCTTACCAACACGCTGTCTGCTTTAAATGAATGTCGCTCGATTGAAGGGGAAAAACTGTTTTTCAGAACGAAGTGTAATTAGTTTATTTTATAAAATTATTTAAATGTTTTTAATAAAATAATATAAAATATTTAAAAATATTTAAATAAATTTGTAGTGCGAACTGTATGTCCTCTATCATAAAAAATACAGTTTTTCTAT